CCGCTGCGACACGAGCCGCAGGACTCTCTTACGGGGGCGGGGTCGTGACGCACAGGGCCACGGGGGCCAATCGGAAGCCACCCGGGATGAGTTCCCCCGCCCCCACCGTTCCCTGGAGTCATCCTGGATCAGGATTCGGTCGCCGTGGCAACGGTGAACGCCGCCTGGGGAGCGAGGCGGGGATGGAGCCGAGGCGGGGCAGCGTCTGCAGGGCGCACCGAGCGACGCGGTTGGACGCTCTCTTTGCAAGGTGGCTGCCAGACGGAATGCAAGAATTCCACTTAAACAACGAACGTTTTTCTTTTTACTATAAGTGTCTAATATTTAGTATGTTAAAAATTTTTTTAATATGACTGTTTAGTATAGTACATCCCCGAATTAGGATTGCCAGATTTAGCAAATAAAAAACACAAGAGGCGCAGTTAGACTTGAATTTCAGATGACAATGAATGTTTTTTAGTATTAGTTTATATATGTTATAATAGTATATTTGGGATGTACTTATACTAAAAAATTATTCATTGTTTATCTGAAATTCAGATTGGCAGTAAGATAATGATTCAAGGAGGCTCCACAGCTCTGGGACTGAGCTCCAGATGGCTGCAGCTGCCAAGTGCTGAGATGGGGAAGCAGGAGGGTAGGGGTGGGGCTGGGGGGCTACCAAAGAAGATGGGGACCCCACTTCCAGGAGCCTAGGACTGAATGCCATTCATCCACTGGACAGCGGTTTATTGAGTGCCTGCCAGGTGCTGTTCTAGGCCCTGAGGGTGAGCAGTACATCAGTGAGCAGGACTGTTGAGGCTTTGGCCTCAAGGGGCCGGCAGTTTACACACCAGTGAACAAATAAAGCAGATGCTTGCTTGCTGGAGTGTGAGTGCCCTGGAGAAAATAAAACTGGGCTCGGAAATAGAAAGTCTCAGGAGTAGCAGGAGGGGCTGCTTAGCTGGGTGGTCAGGGCTGTGCCTCTATCTCATGTCCTGCTGGCTGCTGGTCCCCAGAGTGTTGTATTCAAGCAGATACTTGTTGTGTGCAAAAGCCACAGATGGGAAAATAAAATGAGGGTGCTGAGGGCTTATTATTCTCCTTCTGTAAATGAGGCACCTGTAATGACATGAGTCCCCTGGTTCATTTTCTTGGTAGCTGAAATTGGCCTGGCCCTTTGGGGCAGCGAAGGCTCATTTGTGCATTTATAACTGCGATGCACCTTAGGAAATGGCTCTTGAGAAAACATTCACTTAGTTTGTCTCTAGAGCCGGGTGAAAGACATGGTCATGGCGTCATAGCCACTTGAACACTAGATCCACTGGGAGGCAGCCTGGTACCGTGAAGAGGTTTCCAAACTTTTTGTAAGCAGCAGAAACTTTTGTTCCAAATGACATTAGGGTAAACCTCAATTTAAAAAGTAAATCGGCTGGAAGCAGAACTGCTGTGATTGCCAGGGGCTGGGAGGAGGGGGAATGGGGAGTGCAGCTAACGGGCACGGGGTTTCTTTGTAGGGCGATGAAAATGTTTTGGATTAGATAGTGGTGATGGTTGCACAACCCTGTGAATGTATGAAAAACTGCTGAACTGTACACTTTAAAGGGGTGAATTTTATGCTATGTGAATTATACCTCAATAAAAATGTCGTTAAAAAAATGCAGAACTGTTTGAGTTGTCGGAAGATCTTGTGTGGCCACATCACACTCAGAACTCAACTCCAGATGGATCTGGGGCTTGAAGCCAAAAGCAAAATATTGAAAGTTTTTGTGGGAAATATTTGAGAATGTTTCTAACTTTCGGGTTGAGACAGATTTCTTAAATAAGACACAAAAACTGCTCACCATCCCTGTGCCAAGATTACACAGATGCTGTCCTACCAACATGTGAAGATGGCAACCATCTGATAGTGATCAGGGACACACAAATCAAGACCACAGTGACTGTTTATTTTATTTCACACCCACTCGACTGGAAACACTTAGAGATCTGACAACATCAAGGACGGAAAGGATGTGGCTCTCAGGCCCTCTTCTACATTGCTGCTGGAGTGTAACGTGGTGAGCTTTGGAAAACATTTTGGCATCTTCTAGTTCGCTTGAACATCTGCATACCCTGTGACCCGGCCTGTCCCACCCAGAGATGCTTCAGGCACTGCTGTGCCGAAGAGCCAAACACCCATCAGAGAAGGAGGGCTGCACTCTGCTCTGTTTACACAGCGGAATATCACACAGAGAAAAAGCACCGTCTACGACAGACGCCAGCAAACTTTTTCTGCAAAGGGCCAAATAGTGAATATTTTTGGTTTTGTTGGCCGTCCAGTCTATGTCGCAGCTACTCAGCTGTGCTGCTGCAGCATGAAAACAGCCATAGACAGCACCAGGGAGGGTGGGCATGGCTGTGTTCCAATGAAACTTGACTTGTCAAAGCAGGCAGCAGGCCGGACTTAGCCTTCAGGCTGTAGTTCGTTGACCCCTGAACTACAAGGAGGATGAGTCTTTGCCCCAGCTGGAACTTCCTTTCCCCAGAGAGCTGCTGGCGGCCTCCCACCTCTGCTAAAGCAGCGCCGCCCAGACAGCTCTCTCAAGTCCCCTCTGCTTGCGTTCTTCCTGACGCTTTTCACTTTTTAAATTATTTTTGTGTTTACTCGTTTAATTGACTTTTCCCCCACACAAGGCAGTCTCTTTTGGAAGGCTCGATGACGGGGAGAAACTGGATTCCTGCTGGGTTCTCCAGGTCACTCTCAGCCTTCCGCACTCAGGAGGAGATGGAGAGGGTGGCACATTAGCCGAGCCCTGTGTGGCAGCAAGAGGGTCAGGGATGGAGGACATCGAGGCAGCTTGAGCTTCACACTCCACCTGCCAGCTGGACGAATTCTCAAACCGCCATTCTGTTGTCTAACACCATAGATTGGTTTCGCCTTTTCTGGAACTTCATAGAAATGGAATAGTATTATGCATCCACTTCTGTGGCTTTCCCTCGGCATGTCTGTGAGATCCAGCCATACTGCTGTGTGTGTCAGGGTGCTTCCTCTCCATTGCCGCGCAGTTTTCCGTTATATGGGTATATGGAGACACGGTTTGTTTCTCCACTCACCTGGTGGTGGACATCTTGGGTTATTTCCAGTTTGGAGTTCTTATTAATAAAGCTGCTATGACCATTTGTGTACAAATCTTTGTGTGGACATTGGTTCTCTGGATTTGCCTGTTCTGGAGATTTCATAGAAATAGGATAATATGTGACCTTTTGTGTCTGGCTTCTTTCACTTGGCATAAGGTTTTCAAGGTTCATCCACGTTGTATCGTGTGTCAGAACTTCATTCCTTTTTATGGTTGAATAATATTCCATTGTATGGATAGATGTAATTTTGTTTCTTCTTTCATCAGTTAGTGGGCATTTTGGATTGTTTCCACTTTTTGGCTGGTATGGATGATGCTGCTATAAACGCTCACGTGCAAGTGTTTGTGTGGACGGATATTATCGTTTCTCTTGAGGAGTGGAATCGCTGGGTCCATGTTTAGCATTTTGAGGAACGGCCGGACTGTTTTCCAAAACAGCTGCACCAATTTATATTCCCACCAACAGTGCACAAGAGTTCCAATTTCTACACATCCTCACCAGCACTTGTTATTTTCCTTTTTTTATTTTTATTTATTTATTTTTGTGTGTGAGGAAAATTAGCCCTGCGCTAATACCTGTTGCCAATCATCCTCTTTTTTGCTGAGGAAGATTGGCCCTTTAACATGCGTGCCCATCTTCCTCTACTTTATGTGGGACGCCTGCCACGGCATGGCTTGATGAGTGGTGTGTAGGTCCGTGCTCGGGATCCGAACTTGTGAATCCTAGGCTGCCTGAAGTGGAGAGTGCAAACCTAACCACTACACCACCGGGCCGGCCCCTATTTTTATTTTTTATTGTAGCCATCCTAGTAGCCAGCCCCGGTGGTCTAGTGGTTTAGCTTTGGTGGTCTCACTGCTGCGGCCCAGGTTCCTTTCTTGTCAGGGAATCACACCACCCATCTGTCAGTTGTCATACTGCGTTGGCTGCATTGCTGTGATGCTGAAAGCTATGTCACCAGTATTTCAAATACCAGCTGGCTCACCCATGGTGGACAGGTTTCAGCAGAGCTTTCAGACTAAGACAGACTAGGAAGACGGACCTGGCCACCCACTTACGAAAAACTTGGCAACGAAAACCCTAGAGTAGCAGCGGAGCCTTGTCTGATATAGTGCTGGAAGGTGAGAGGATGGCACAGAAAGACTGGTTAAGGCTCTCCTCTGCTGTCCACAGGGTCCCTAGAAGTCAGAATCCACTCCACAGCACTAACAACAAGCATCCTAGTGGATGTGAACTGGTGTCTCACTGCGGTTTTGATTTGCAGGTCCCTGATGGCTAATGGTGTTGACCATCTTCTCTTGCACAGAGGGCAGCAGCCACCCCTGACTGGGCAGATAGCACCATTTCCTGCCCTGTGTTGGAGAGACGCACCCGCCCAGCCTGGGCCAGGCCTCCAGCTGCCACCTGGAGCTGCACATGCCTGTTCCTCTGCTTAGTGGCCTTGGTGGCCCTGGGACAGGAGGCAGTGGTCCAGGGCCACCTGCAGCTCTGGGGACTCCCCCATCTCCAAAGGCTACCAGGCAAGGAGGGGGCGGGGCGGGGAGTCATAAGGCTTCTGGCCTCCAGGCCCTCATGGGCCTCTCTCCAAACAGTGACCTGGGGACCCTGAGTTCAGCTGCACCTGGGCTTGTGGGGTCCCTGAGGTCCCTCCCGGGAGTCTGCAGGTGAGGCCCACGAGCTGTCACCCTCGGCTTGGGGGAGGCGGGGGGCCCCAGAGGAAGGAGGTAAGACTTTTAATGGCCTGGGATTTCAGGCTGCCCAGCCGAGGCCCAGCGTCCTTGTCCTCCCCACGGAGTGGATCCCGAGGCTCCTCCAGGTGTGTCCCCAGCCCCCAGGCCCTGGAGTGAGGGCGACCTCCCAGATAAAAGCCCTGTCATTGTGCAGCATGGCCACACAGCTCAGGCATGTGGCTCTGCTCCCTGCTGCCTGCCCTCACCCTCGCCTTCACGGGCTCTGTCCCCGGGGCCTCCCTATCCGGGCCGACAGGCTGGCACCTGCCGGGGAAAAGTGCCCACTTCAACCAGCCCGGGGACGTGGTGGTCGGGGGCAGCTTCTCCATCTTTCGCTTCAAAACTGGCCCCCTGTTCAATTTCACGGTCCCGCCAGCCGGGCAGGCGTCTGTGATGTGAGTGGCCGCCGGGGTGCTGGGGAAGTTGGGACAGGGGCCTGAGGGCGCCTCGGGTGGCTGATTCTCAGGACCCCAGGGGATGGTGGGTTTGTTCTGTTTGTCTAAGTGTTAGTTGGTCTGTCTCTCAGGCCTCCCTCACCACTTCCCTCGTCCTTGCTTTCCTGTTCGTGCTTGTCTCTGTCTGAAACGGGGTTGCCCAGGCCACATGGACCCCAGGTCAGGGATTCCTGTCTCTTTCATTGCCGCAGGCCCTCCGTGGCTAGAACATCAGCAGGCACACAGCAGGCGTGTTTGTTGAATGAATACAAGTGTGTGGAATGAACAAAGCTCTTCATGAGTTCATCAGCCCCTGGGGCTCCCCTCTGCCCATTGCTGTGCAGGGTTTCCTGGCCTGTCTTTGCTGACACGTCCTTGTGGCTGTTGTGAGCCACGTGGCCACACAGGTCCCTGTCCCTGTCTCCGTGCTGTCAGTCCTCGCAGTCACCAGCCGCCTTCCCGCCACGTGTTCCTCTCACTGTAGGCACTGCCAGCTGACGCGGACCTCGCCTTCTCTTCCCCTCAGCATGTCCTTGTGGGGCTACCGGGTGGCCCAGAGTTTTGTCTTTGCCGTCGAGGAGATCAACCGGGACGGCCGCCTGCTGCCCAACCTCACTCTGGGCTTCTCCATCTGGAACTCTGGGGACTCGGTGGCGGGAGCCCTCCACGAGACGATGGCCTTGCTCACGGGGTGGGAGGAGCCAGTCCCCAACTACGAGTGTCAGCTCAGCCCGCCCCGGGCCGCCCTGGTGGGAGACACGCGCTCGGCCGTGTCCATCCCCATGGCCAGGCTGCTGGGGCTCTACAAGTTTCCCCAGGTGAGTCGTCCCAGAGCCTTTTCCCTCCACAAATAAATAGTGACGGTGGTGATGCCGATGGCGGTATTGGCTGCGCTCAGGGGCAGATTTCCACTAAGGCTTCAGGTGCCCGACACAGTAACCTGGTGCTCAGGGAATGCGGATCCCACGGCATTGATGGGGAAACTGAGGTTTAGGAACAGTCACAGACGGGTCTGAGCTCATCCAGCGGGACTCAACCCGGGCGGTGGGGCTCATGCTGGCCAGCCTCCCCCCCACCCCCCCAGGTGTTTCCCAAATTTCAGGCCCTCAGAGTCAGGCCCACGATGGTGGTCGTGACCAAGTGCCACCTTTTCTTCTTGTTTTCCTTTAAACTGGGTCCTATTTTAACAGGTTTACTGAGATATAATTCACACACCATACAATTCACCCTCTTACAGTGAGCAATTCGGTGGCTGTTAGTGTACTCAGCGCTGCCCAACCAGTATCACCATGATCAATTATAAAACATTCTCTTCACCCCATAAGGAACCACACCCCCGGCAACTATGAATCCGCTTTCCGTCACTGTGGATTTACCTTTTCTAGACATTTCGTACAAAAGGAATTATGTAGTATGCGGTCTTTTGTGGCTGGCTTCTTTCACCGACCGTATGTTGTCAAGGTTCATCCAAGCGGTGGCGCGTGTCGGTGCTTCATTCCTTCCTATGGCTGAATCTCGTGCCGTTGTGTGGATGGACCACGTTGTTTGTCCCCTCGTCTGTTGATGGATGTTTGAGCTGTGGCCACTTTTTGGCAATTGTGAATAATGCTGCTATGCACATCTGTGTGTAGGTTTTTGTGTACACATGTGTTTTCTTTTCTCTTTTCTGTTATGGGAGCGTGTTACCAAGGCAACGTCTCAGGACACAGCCAAACTTGCTCAATCAGAGTCTGCGTTTTAACAAGGTCCCCAGGTGGTTTGTGTGCATGCTAAAGTTAGGGTGCCACTTATTCGAGTCCAAATGCCCCCATTCTTGTTGACAAGAGGCAAGATGACTTGCTGGATGTCCCACTAGTTACTGACAGAACGAGGCTGCTATCCCTCCAACTAATTTTAATTACTAACAGTTATTGTGCGCTTACTGAGTCACTCTCTTAGAGCTGCCATCGCCTGCCTCACTGTTAATATGCTCTGAAGGGGGCCCACTCTGTGCCCGGCATTGGCCCCGGCTTCTCCCATTAAATTTTCACTGTATCCCTTCAAGGTCAGACAGGAGAAATCCTCTTATCTAGAATGGGTCCCTGGCCAGATAATTGAAAAAGTCAATTAAGGTATGACATCATGCAAAACATACACACCTTCAATATTTTTTTATGCATGTGTTTTCAGTTCTCTTGGGTATATGCGTGGAATCAATGTGTCACATGGTAAATCTGTGTTTAACTATTTGAAGAACTGCCGGAGCACTTTCCAAAGCGGCTGCACCATTTCACATTCCCATCAGCATCATGTAAGGATTCCAGTTTAAATTCACTCACTTTGACTATGAAACCTATACATTTGGGTAAATTCCTCTCTCCTTGAAAGCCTTAAATTTGCTGTTTCCTCGCTGCGGGGAAGGGCCTTCCTTCCTACCCAGGGAGCCCGGGCCCTGCAAGGCCCAGAGCACATTCTGGGCTGTTTCCTAGGAAGGCTTTATGGGAGTTAGTGCCACAGAGGAAGTGCAACCCTTGCTTCTTCTCAGAGGACTGGTTATGCAGAGGGAGTTCTTCTCAGGTCTGACACTCTAGGTCTGGGCTCACTTGTACTATCGATTTTTCCAGTTCTATCCTGATAAAAAGGAGGACAATTCTTACAGAACCTCTGCAAATAACCACCTCGCTGGTACAGATGAAGAGGCTCAGGGGAAATACATGTGAATTTGGACAGGTCTGTGAAAACAAGATGCCATTTTAAGAATGCTGTGTTTTTTGTTTTTGTTTTTGTTTTTGTTTTTTTGCAGAGAAAGATTCGCCTTGAGCTAATATCCCTTGCCAATTTTCCTCTTTTTTTTTCTCCTCCCCAAAGCCCCAGTGCATGCTTGTATATCCTAGTTGTAAGTCCTTCTGGTTCTTCTATGTGGGCTGCTGCCACAGCATGGCAACTGACAGACAGGTGGTGTGGTTCCGAGACCGGGAAACGAACCTGGGCTGCCGAAGTGGTGAGCGCCAAACTTTAACCACTAGGCCATCAGGGCTGGCTCAAGAATGCTATGTTTTTAAGAATGTTTGTGTGGGAGGCAGAATGCTAAGGTGGCCCCTGAGATTCTTGCTGGTGCACTCACCCTGTATAATCCCTGATCCCCAAGTGTGGAGAGGAAATTGAATATCCTGGGACAGTTGCTCTCGTGATTACATCATAGAAGACCCCAACCTAGCAGACTGAAGAGACATTTTTCTCCTCTGGCCAGAAGCAGAATTAAACTACCATGCTGTGAGAGTAGCGGGCCACGTGACAAGAACCTGAGGTGGCCTCTAGGAGCTGAGAGTGGCCCCCGGGCGAGAGCAAGCCAAAAAGTGGGACCTCAGTCCTACAGCTGCAAGAAACAGTTCTGCCAAAAACCGGTGATCCTGGGACTGGACCTCAGCCTCCGATGAGAACGCAGCCCTGGCTGATCCCTTGATTGCAGCCGTGTGAGACTCTGAGCAGAGGACCCAGCTAAGGAAGACGTACCCCAACTCCTGACCTACAGACACTGCGAGCTAATACGTGGGTGTTGTTTTAAGCTAAGTTCCAGAGGCAATTGGTCCTTGCTTGAGATAGAAGCATGGGTTCCCGAGAACAACAGATGATTGTAGCCCAGCTGCCTCTTAATTGAAATGATGATCCAGTTTAAAAATAAATTCATTAGATGGTAACACAATAATAAGAGTTTATCCATAAGAAAAAAAAAAAGAGCCTTGTGAATTTGTTATTCTAAATATCATATTAATATGAGTTTGGAATTTGGTTTTCTTTCTGTTAAAATGCCAAATTGCTCCTGGCATATTCAGTCGACTCCAGGCAACAGATAGAGAAAGGTGATTTTTGGTGTAACCTCCCCAGAGAGAGGAGATTCTGAATGTCACCAAAACAACCCCTTGGGTTTGGCTGAGTTGTCATGCCCCTGGTTTACAAAACAAACAAATTTTTCTTCTCTTCTGAAAGAGCTAATTTCAATTCTGCCACATTTCTTTTTAAATCTGATCAGATATGTGACTATTACTTCTACATAATGTTTAAGCTTAAGAAAAATGTAATGTGTTCAACTGAATTGAATTATCATTCTGATAAATGTTCTTATATCAATAGTAATTATGATCCATGGGGTATCAACTTAAGGGTCATTTCCAAGAGCCTAACTTAACTTTAAGAGATTGGACTAATACTAATTTCAATTAAATATTCAATGGTCTTTGGATACTGGGATAATTTCTAAGTAAGACGGAACACTGAAATGCCATCTCAAAGAATAGATTTGGCATTTCTACCTTGACTTCCCATTTGTACACATTAGAGAGGAGCGGAGATTTGGGTCTCATTAATGAGTGTGTTCCTTGTTGACACTTTAAGAAGGGGGGACAAGTATGTGTGGCTGTCGGGGAAGATATCATGCAAGGCTATCAGCTTTGCCGTCTGCAAAATGCTCGTATAGGACAGATCCTTCGAAACTACTTTCCTCTGAGTTTTCTCTTTGAAGAAGTGAGTTACTTTGGTTAAGAGTTTGTGGTCTTGGGGGCCGGCCCCATGGCATAGTGGTTAAGCACATGCGTTCCGCTGCTAGCGGCCTGGGGTTCAGATCCCAGGTGCGCACAGAGCACCGCTTGTCAGCCCATGCTGTGGCAGCGTCCCACATAAAGTGGAGGAAGATGGACACGGATGTTAGCTTAGGGCCAGTCTTCCTCAGCAAAGAGAAGAGGATTGGCATGGATGTTAGCTCAGGGCTGATCTTCCTCACAAAAAAAAACAAAAAAGAGTTTATGGTCAGGCCATTCTAAGAATGGAGTACAAACAACCTGGCAAGCTAACAGGCTGAGTTTTGTTTATCAAAGATGAAGGGAGTAGTTTTGTTCTAAACTAGAGTGTCTGGTTGTTCCAGAATGCAAAGGAGGATAGCGTGAGTCAACTCTTGGGCGGATTTATAAAGCTGGAGAACATTTGTGGAAAGTAAACCTTATTTGTCTGACTTTATATTTACTGCAAAAATGAGACTGAAAAGGCACAATGAAATGTGTTAGAATTTGGCAACATTTGCTGTTTGAGTGAGTTTATTCATATCCTTACATTTTTCTTAACATTATACGGAATTTTAGGAAGTTTGGATTAACTGCTCACTTCATGAGAAAACAAATCCAAGTCTTACAAAAAAAATGATAAAATAAGAACTTGAGTTATATTCTACACATAAATCGAAGGAAAAGACCTAAGTGGTTTTTTCCCCCTTTTTTGGTGAGGAAGATTAGCCCTGAGCTAACATCTGTTGCCAATCCTCCTCTTTTTGCTGAGGAAGACTGGCCCTGGGCTAACATCTGTGCCCATCTTCCTTTATTTTGTGTGTGGGATGCCACCATAGCACGGCTTCATAAGCAGTGAGTACATCCCAGACCTGGGTTCAGAACTGTGTGAACCCTGGGCTGCAGAAGTGGAGTGCCAGAACTTAATCACTAGGCCACCGGCCGACCCCCAAGACATAAAGTGTTTTCAACTCCAAATTATCGAACCAGGCTGATTTGTCCAAGGATTCACTCCGACTGCCTCAACTTGGGTTTGGATATAAAATGCTTTTAGGATCGCGGTTGAGGTTTTTTCTTTTCTTTTCTTTTCTTTCAAATTCAAGCTCATGGAAGGCATTAGAAGCATTTCCTGAACACCACTCAAGAAGCTCCTCTTTCCCATATATGTCGGGTTGTCAGATTAAATGCTCACAGGACAGCCGGGTACATCTGGATTTCAGATAAGCAATGACAATTTTTTAGTATAAGTTTGTCCCAAATATTGCATGGAACATACTATACTAAAATATTTCGTCGTTTATCTGAAATTCAAGTTTACCTGGGCGTCCTGTATCTGCATGTCCTGAATCTGGGGGCTCGGCCTCTGTGAGATTTGGTCAGCCGTGTCTGTCTCCAGAACCAGTCAGACTACAGCGCCTTCGCGGGAAGCGCGGGTGTCGCCTCCTCTGACCCACTGTGTTCCTCCCCCTGGCGGTAAGAGGAGGCTCTGCGCCCAGACCAAGGCGTGCGAGGCTCTCACCGCCACAGGCGCCAGCGCCAGCAGCTCCCTTCCGCGCCTCGGCCCGGGTCACCGCGAACACGGAGAAGAACCCCGCGTGTCGCTCCCGGGGCGCAGGGAATCGTCGCTTCCTTGAGAAGTCAACCCACAAGCGAAAACGGACACCCCAGACTCCGTCACCTCACCCGCAGGGGAGATTCCCACCGCTCTCGCCACAAGATCCCGAGTGGTCAGAGCGCACTGGCAGGTCCCGTATCACGCCCGGGAAGGGCAACCCGCGAGCTCTGTGCAGCCGGCGCTGGAATCAGAACCCAAGCCGCCGAGACACGGACCCAGGAAACGAATGCAGGAGGAGGGCCAGCGGGAGGGAGACGGAGGGGAACGAAGGCAGAGCTCACCTGCTCCTTGGTTTCATCCCAGGAGCCAGAAGGACGGGTCTGGGCTCAACGGCCCACGCGGTGCACGTGAGCAGGCGGGGCTGCCTGGGCTGTGGCGGGGACCTCCGCGACCCTCAGAGCGACATTTTTAAAAGATTAGAGGGAATTCGCGCGCTCTGCTTCCGAGGCCCCGGGTTCGCAGGTTCCTATCCCGGGCGTGCACCGTCGCACCGCTTGTTAAGCCATGCTGTGGTGCCGTCCTATGTAAAGTAGAGGAAGATGGGCACAGATGTTAGGGCCACTCTTCCTCAAGAAAAAAGGGGAGGATTGTCACTGGATGTTAGCTCCGGGCTAGTCCTCCTCACACACACACAAAAAGATTAGAGGGGCGGCCTGGTGGCGCAGCGTTCAATGCGCATGCTCCGCTTTGGCGGCCCGGGGTTCGAAGGTTCAGATCCTGGGCGCCTACAGATGCATCGCTTGTCAAGCCATGCTGTGTCAGCGTCCCATATAAAGTGGAGGAAGATGGGCATGGATGTTAGCCCAGGGCCAATCTTCCTCAGCAAATAAGTAAGTAAGTAAATAAATAAAAAGATTAGAAAACATAGCTCTCTTACAAGGACGGAATGAACACACGACAAAGATTTCTCTAACTGGTTAATAAGAAAGCAGCAGGATGGTGACGCTGGTTCAAGCATCAGTGTTTTTTTTAATGTTGTCTAGATGATTCCATGGTGCCTCGGTGGGCTAGGACCCGCTCCTCAAAGTGCAGACTGAGAATCGTCATCACCTGGGGGATGTTAGAAATGCAGACTCCGGATCCCCAACCAGCACCCGCACCTAACAGAGTCCCCTGTTAACGCTGGAGGCGCTCAGGGCCTGGCGATCTAACGCAGCCACTGATGTTTTTGGAGAGGTGACCATGTACCAGGCTCTGCTCTAATTAGGATGACCACCATCCCCGTCTGCCCAGGACTGAGGGTGCTCGTGGGATGTGGGGCTTTCTACGGCAAAACCGGGACCATGCTGGGGGAACCGGGACGAGCTGGTCACCCTGCCTGTGTCCTGGCTGGACCCCCCTCCCCTTGTTGAAACCTGCCCATCAGCAGTGCCTGAGCTCCCACTGCAGGCTCCTTCCTGGTTCTCACCCCTCTCCTCTCTGCCCCGGCCCTTCCTGCCCAGGTCAGTCACTCATCCACTCTGGCCAGCCTCAGTGACAAGACCCAGTTCCCGTCCTTCCTTCGGACCGTGGCCAGTGACCTCACGACCTCCCGTGCGGTGGCACACCTGGTTGTCCACTTTGGGTGGTCCTGGGTGGGCATTCTGGCCCAGGACGATGACTACGGGCAGCAGAGCAGCTCACTGGTGACCCAGGAGCTGGGCGAGGCTGGCATCTGCATCGAGTTCCACCTCTACGTCCCCTCCCAGCAGTCCCTGGAGAAGACGGAAGCCATCGTCCGGGAGATGGGGCGCTGCACCGCCACTGGCATCGTCGTCTTCCTGAGCAACTCGAACTTTCAGCTCATCCTGCAGGGCTTGCTGGGCCATGGCATCTGGGGCCGGGTCTGGGTCAGCGGGGACACACTGCACGCTGTGTTGGCCCTGGCCGTCCCGGGCGTGTCCCAGCTCCTGCAGAGCTCCTTCAGCCTCCTCCAGCACAGCAGCCAGGTCCTCGGCTTCCCCGAGTACTTTGCTCGCCTGCACCCCGCCCAGACCCCAGAGGACATGTTCACAGAGAGATTCTGGGAGGTCACCTTTGGATGCACGTGGCCCCGCAGAAGCCCAGGGCCAGCGGGGGAGAGCTCCGCAGCAGGGGGAGTCCGGTTCTGCTCTGGTAATGAGAGCCTGAGGGGCCGGGAGCACCCTTTCCAGGAGGTGAGTAAAGCGGACATCGGGTACCCGGCCGTCTACAGCATCGCCCACGCCCTGCAGGACCTGGGCGCCTGTGAGCACGAGCATGGGGACAGGACGTGCGCAGACCCTCGGCACTTCCGGCCCTGGCAGGTGAGGGGACCGTGTGGACGCTGCAGGGTGGCCCGGAGCGGGAGGCTCACTCTGCCCAAGCCAGGGGGCAGCGCAGAGCCAGCTCTCTCAGTGACGATGAGCAGGGAAAGGCATGATGAGCAGGGAAAGGCACGTGGCTGGGGCGCAGGTGGTGTGGAGGCTCCCTCTAGGGGGTCAGGAAGGCAGAGGCCAGGCTGGGCAGGCCCTGTGGAGTTTGGACTCGGAGTGTCATGGGAAGGCTGAGGAAGGGAGTGCATGGCCAGAGTCCCAGGAGCCAGTGCTGCATTGTGACTTTTGTGGGTCCCTTCCTCCATTAAAAAATATTAAAAATTGTCTTTTACTACTGCCTTGCTGTCAAGGCGAACATAATCTGGGCTGGATTCATTATTATATGGTCATTATTACTTTATTTGTTTCTTCTTATTTTACAAGAAGTTAAAATTAAAATATTTTCACGGGCCCCTGAAAGTATCGGGGGCCCTGTGGATGAGTTGGCCCTGCCTGGAGAGTCACCTGCTCATCGCCATGGTCATTGGCCCGCAGCGTTTTGGACAGACCCCAGGGATGAGCACTGGCCAATCTACATCGCCCTTCCTTCCCCCAGCTTCTGCATTCCCTCAGGAAGGTGCATTTCAAGACCCCCGATGGGACGGAGATTGTTTTTGATGCCAATGGAGATATGGTTACAAAATATGACATTCTTCAAGGGCAGAAGACCGCCGAAGGCCTATTCCACTTTGTCCGCATAGGCGTAGTCAACCCACAAGCTTCCTCAGGGGAGAGACTGATGGTCCAGTTGATGCAGGAGGAGCTCCAGGTGAGTTGTCTGGGTGCATAGTGACCCCGGTCCCGGCATATTAAAATCAGAGGAGAACTCAGAGGCCAGTGGTTCAAGTTGCTATTTGATGCATGAAGTGGGTGGGGCTTTAAATTGGGCCAATCATAACTCAGCTCTGTTGTTTAGCCATACTAGACCCTTCTATTAGGAGATAAAAGTCATTTACTCACCACCAAAAATGAAAATATTGGAGCCACAGAAGTTGAAGTAGAGTCTCCACCCGGAGTTCCCACTAGAGCACTCTTCTTGTCTGTCCTCGGGGACCTGCTTGGTGACGAGGTGGGGCGTTTACCTGGGAAGATAGGAATACACTTCACCACACACATTCCCATCCAGCCTCTGGGAGGGGCAGGACATGTGTTTTCATTTCACTTATTAACAAAGTTAGTTGCTGCCTCCCCGTAGCTCTGGCCTGGAGGCGGGAGGCAGGCTCAGGGAGTCAGAACCATCCCTCCGCAAGTCCTGAGTAGATGGAGGCCACTGGCTAAACAATGTGAGCTCGTGAAGGGGGCCTCAGCAGCTACAGTTCTGGCTGGGGGAGTCTCAGAGGGACTGGAAGGGCGCCATCTCAGGCAGTGTTCCTGAGCTTTCCCACCAGCCAGCTGAGCACCACCTGAGGGTTTGCTTCATTGCTACATCCGTGGGTGCCTCTCCACTCCGACTTCTCTGTAACTGAGATGTTTTTTCCCCTGAAAGGAGCCTCATCTTCCTGTGGGTGGGAAGGACACTGGACTGCTTCCCTGAGCTGTTCCAGGACAGGACCCCGGGCCCCATGCCGCGGACTGGTCGCTAAGGACACCCTCTGCTCATCCGTCCTCAGGTCCCCAGCTCTGCCTGCAGCACGAGCTGTGCTCCAGGGTCCAGCCAGATCCTGCGCCAGGGAGCCCCGCACTGCTGTTTCGACTGCAGCCCCTGCCCCGAGGGACAGTTCGCAGACCAAAGAGGTGAGGGCTGTGGCGGCTGAATCCAGAGAGGCCCTCCAGGCACCTCCAGCCTCTCAAATCCCCAACCCAGTGAGTCGTTCTGTGGACTCTGGATGTGGGGGGGGGGCGTGGGGTGGTGGAGTGCTGGTGAGGAAGTCACTCTTATAGTTATTTTTACGTAAACATTTTATTGAACTATAACAGACAGACAAACACATGTATCCTAAGTGTGTAGCCCGATGAATTCTCCCCTAGAGAACACCCCAAGTACCTGGCCCCCAGGTGGAGAAACAGAGCATGACCCGCCCCCAGAGTCCCGGGGTTCCTTCTTGGTCATTGTCCCCCAGGGAACTGTTGTCTTGACTTCTACGGACATTGATGGGTTTTGCCCATCTTTTGACTCCTATAAGTGTAATCGCACAGGGAATGTTCTCTCGAGTCTTGCTTTTCCTCCGCGTGCATTTCTGTGAGTCACCTCGGTGATGTGTGCAGTCGTAGCTCCCCTGGTCTCGTGCTTGGCAGGACCCCAGTGTGGACACGCCGTGACTTTGCGGGCAGGGGCTGTAGTGAGCAGTGCTGCTGTGGATGCCACTGTCCATGTTGTCTGGGGACATGTGGATGCATTTCTGTCGGTGTGGCACTGCTGGGCCGCAAGGTGGACGTTCGTGTGGCTTTAGTGGACTACAAGTGTTGGCGGCACCCACTGCTCCCTGTGTTCATTTCCTGCAGCTGCTGTAGCAAATTACCACAAACCAGTGGCTTAAAACCACATACATTTAGGGCCGGCCCCGTGGCTTAGCGGTTAAGTGCACGTGCTCCGCTGCTGGCGGCCCGGGTTCGGATCCCGGGAGCACACCGATGCACCGCTCCTCTGGCCATGCTGAGGCCGCGTCCCACATACAGCAACTAGAAGGATGTGCAACTATGACATACAACTATCTACTGGGTCTTTGGGGGAAAAAAAGGAGAAGGATTGGCAATAGATGTTATCTCAGAGCTGGTCTTCCTCAGCAAAAAGAGGAGGATTAGCATGGATGTTAGCTCAGGGCTGCTCTTCCTCACAAAAAAAAAAAAACCACATACATTTATTATTTCACAGTTTCTTTTTTTTTTTTTAAAGATTTTATTTATTTTATTTTTTGCCCCCAAAGCCCCAGTAGATAGTTGTATGCCATAGCTGCACACCCTTCCAGTTGCTGCACGTGGGACTCGGCCCCAGGATGGACAGAGAAGTGGTGCCTCGATGCGCACCCGGGATCCGAACCCCGGGCCGCCAGCGTCGCAGCAAGCGCACCCAACCACCAAGCCACAGGGCCGGCCCATTATTTCACAGTTTCTATTGGTCAGAAGTCTGTGTACAGTGTGCCTCAGCTGGGTCCTCTGCTGAGCGTCTCACAGGCCAAAATCAAGGTGTCAGGAGGGCTGTGCTCTCTGCTGATGGCTCTGGAGAAGAAGCTGCTTCCCAGCTCATTCAGGTCATTGGCAGAATTCAGCTCCTTGCAGCTGTAGGATCGGGGACCCCATTTCCTTATGGGTTGTCAGCTGGGGGGGTCACTTCCAACTTCTAGAAGCCATTGCATTCCCTGCCACATGGGCCCCCTCCATCTTCAAAGTCAGCAATCTCTCCTGCCTTTTCTGCCCCATTACTCTGCCCTCTCCTTCCCCTCCTTCCCACTTTTAAGGGCTCATATGATGACTTTGGACCCAATCGGATAGTCCAGGATAATCTCCCCATCTCAAGATCCTTAACCATACCTGCAAAGTCTATCTTGCCACGTGAGGGAACACGTTCACAAGTTCCAGGGCTTAGGGCATAGACATCTTTGGGGGAAGGGGCATTATTCTGCCTGACCAGCCTTCAGGTTATTGGGTCTTTTCATCTGAGCCATTCTGGTGGGCATGTGATGCTATCTCATGTGTCCAGAGCAGTAATTTTAAATAATCTCCAGAGAAAGGGAGGCAGAATTGGTGAGAATTGCTGTATTAGTTTGCTAAGGCTGCCATAACAGAACACCACAGACTGGGCGGCTTGAACAACAGACATTTATGCTCTCACAGTTCTGGAGGCTGCAAATCCAAGATCAAGGTGTTGGCAGGTAAGTTTGTCCTGAGGCCTCTCTCCTTGGCCTGCAGATGGCTGTCTTCTCCCTGTGTCCTCACCTGGTCATCCCTCTGTGTGTGTCTGTGTCCTAATCTCCTCTTCTCATAAGGACACCAGTCCTATTGGATTAGGGCCCAAGCTAATGACTTTATTTTGCCATAATGACCTCATCTCCAATTTGCTTATCTTCAAATACAGCCATGTTCTGAGGTACTGGGGGTTAGGAGTTCAATATATGAATTTTGGGGGATCTTAATTCAGTCCATAACAATTACTAATAAGAACAGTTACTACTACTACCTGGAAAAAATTTAATCATTTAAAAAATAAGGTAAGAACACATATTTAGGGTGCACATTTTTCCTTGTGCTTCAGACGCTAATGTGGCCTATCTCGGCACTGATGACTGCGAATAATTCATGAATGAATCAATAGGGGATCTGAAGTAAGACATGATGACAATAGTTGATAACACTGTATAAGTGAAATCTGCTAAGAGAATAGAAGTTAAATGTTGTTACCAAAAAAAGAAAAAAAAAAAGATAAATATGTGAGGCGATGGATGTATTAATTAACTAAATGGGAGGAATCCTTTCACAGTGTATACGTAAATTAAAGCATCATGATGTACACGTTAAATATTTACAATTTATTGTTAATAGTTATAATTTATTTGCTGATTATACTTCAGTAGAGCTGAAAGAAAAAGAAAAACTCTTTTTCATGGAAATCGCCTTGAAATAAATAAATACACACGTGAAATGCTCCTGAGAGCGCTTGCCGCCTAGGGAGCCTCAGTGGTGAACACGTAGCTGGTTCGTGGCCGACGTGGTCCGTGTGTCTCCGCAGACATGAAGCAGTGTCTCCTGTGCCCCGGGGAGCAGGCGCCCAGCCAGGCCCGGGACCGCTGCCTGCCCAGGCCCGAGGCCTTCCTGGCCTTCGACGAGCCCCTGGGGCTGGCGCTGGCCTCGGGGGCGCTGGCGCTGGCCGGCCTGGCGCTGCTGGTCCTGGCGCTGTTCGTGCGGCACCGCGCCTCGGCCGTGGTCAAGGCCAGCAACAGGGCGCTCAGCTGCGTGCTGCTCGCCTCCCTGGCGCTCTGCGCCCTCTGCGCGCTGCTCTTCCTCGGCCGGCCCAGCGCCGCCTCCTGCCTCCTGCGCCAGAGCGCCTTCGCCGTCGTGTTCACCGTGGCCGTCTCCTCCGTACTGGCCAAGACCCTGACCGTGGTCCTGGCCTTCAGAGCCACCAGGCCGGGCGACTGGCTCCGGGTGTGCCTGGGACCCAGCGCCTCCACCGCGGTCGTCCTCGGCGCCTCGTCGGTGCAGGTCATTCTCTGCGGCGTCTGGCTGGCCACCGCGCCCCCGTTCCCGGACAGGGACACTGCCTCCGAGCCCGGCCACATCGTCCTCCAGTGCCAGGAGGGCTCCGGCGCAGCCTTCTACTGCGTGCTGGGCTACCTGGGCCTCCTGGCCGGGGGCACCTTCTCTGTGGCCTTCCTGGCCAGGGGCCTGCCTGCCACCTTCAACGAGACCAAGTTCCTCACCTTCAGCATGCTGCTCTTCTGCAGCGTCTGGACGGCCTTCCTGCCCCTGTACCACAGCGCTCGGGGCAAGGCCACTGTGGCTGTGGAGGTCTTCTCCATCCTGGCCTCCACCGCAGGGCTTCTGGGCGGCATCTTCATCCCCAAGTGCTACATCATCCTGCTGAGGCCCGAGCAGAACGCCCTGGCCGGGTTAAGGCGTGGACGCTGGGCTGAGAGGGAAAGGCAGAGCGAGGAGCTCCGGAGCAGGCGTCTCCCCAGGCCCTGGCCTTAGAGCCTCCTGAGCCAGTCCTCGCTGAAGACGCTGGGGCCTCAGGATTTGGGCTCACTGTTTTCTTGCAATTTAAAAGAGACTTTAAGAGAGATCAAGAGAGAGAAAGCACAGCGTGCAAGATGTTAAAGACTGTCAGATCAAGATGCAAGCAAGTGGATGGTCACTGACTATTCTCCTTGTATATATTGTGCAAAATTTCCACAATTAAGAAAAGTTTGAGGGCCGCCCCGTGGCTTAGGGTTAAGTGTGCGCGCTCCGCTGCTGGCGGCCTGGGTTTGGATCCGGGCGCGCACCAATGCACCGCTTCTCTGGCCATGGTGAGGCCGCGTCCCACATACAGCAACTAGAAGGATGTGCAGCTATGACATACAACTATCTACTGAGGCTTTGGGGGGAAAATAAATAAATAAATAAAATCTTAAAAAAAAAAGTTTGAAAAAAGCCTATGATGCAATAATAATAATCTTAAAGATGATAACAAATGTTGGTGAGGATGTGGGGAAGTTGAAACCCTCATCCTCTGCTGGTGGGAATGTAAAATGGTGCAGCTGCTTTGGAAAACAGTTGGGCAGTTCTCCAAAAGGTTAAAGGTAGAATTAGCATATGACCAAGTAATTCCACTCTTAGATAGGTACACAAGAGAAATGAAAACATATGTCCACACAAAAACTTGTGCACAAATGTTAAGAGCAGCCAAAAAGTGGAAACAACTCAAATGTCCTTCAACTGATGAATGGATAAACACAATATGCCACATCATACAATGGGATGTTATTTGACAACAAAAAGGAATGAAGTACTGACACAGGCTATAACACAGATGACTCTTGGAAATATTCTGCTAAGTGAAAGAAGCCTGTCACAAAAGACCATATACTGTATGCTTTCATTTATATGAAATGTCCAAAATAGGCAAACCCATAGAGGCATCAAGTCGATTGGTGGTTGCCTAGGCCTGGGAGGAGAAGGGATTGGTGGGTGACGCCTAAGGAGTGCAACCTTTCTTTTTGGGGTGAAGAAATAGTCTAACATAGAGTTTGGTTTATGGTTACACAACTCTGTGAATATCCTAAAACCCATTGAATTTATACTTTAAATGGGTGAATTTTATGGTATGTGGATTATATCTCAATAAAGCTGATACCAAAAAACAGAGAATTAATCACAAAGTGTGGCCTTTCGTTATATCCTAATTTTTTAAAAGACCAATCTATTAAAAAAATTGAGATAATTATAAGTTGGTATACTGAATATTCAATGGTGTAAAGAAGTTATTTTTCTAAAATTTTAATAATGGGATTGTGGTTATGTTAGAAAACGGTCCTTATCTTTTGGAATTACATATTGTAATTGAAATGGTGTACTGTTTGAGGTTTGCTTTCAAACGATACAAAATGGCAGAGTGGCTGGGGGAGCACTGACCCTGGGTTGATGGGTCATCAGGGCTACATTATGGGGACATAGAGGCTCATTGTTCTCTGCTGTCTGCTTTTGCATATGTCCAAAATTCTCCATAATAAAAAGGTTTTGAAAATTCCCTAAAGAACCACAAAGAAGAGCATAGAGAACATAGATTGGTGACTCCACCCTGTACAGAAAATGGCCGTACGAACGCATGCATGGGGCCCACAGTCATGCAGGGCGCGGAAAGTGTGGAGAAAACGTCTCACATCAAGACTAGGCTCAGACTTAGCTCTGTGAGAGGCCCCGACTCTGAGCGGAAAAAATGCCTCACCCCAAGCACACACATGCCTCACCCGGAGGGGCTCCTTCTCAGACGGGAGAACAGGTCTACAAGAAGAGGTAGTCCAAGGCTCTGGTTCCAAATCCGTTCCCAAATCTAGGTTTTGCTTTCAGAATTTTATTGAGAATTCTAGTTGTCAGCAGAGGAAAGTTCTCCAAATTGAATCCTCATCACCAAGAAAAAAATGACCCAAACAAGGCTATGCAACTTTACATTATTGCCAGGTGAACATAAATGCTGTGAAAATCTCGATTATAACAACATAATTAGTGATTCAGCTGGAAAAAACCACAAATTACATTTTATGGAAGAAATCTCTGATAATTTATGAATGATGCCTACCTTCATCACCCACCCAATAAACAGAAACGCCCGGACATGGACATAACATTTAAGTACGTGTCTTTATTCCATATAAAAAGCACATCGCGACATTTACTTTGATTTCGTCCCTAGGAACGTGTCCTGTGAAGGCAGCATCTTTGACAGCACCGCTGAGGGCGGGGGCCCTCAGAGACCCCGCGTGCTGCCGCAGAGCCTTCTGGGAGGTGTAGTCCGCGGCTCAGTGTAGGACGAGGCCAGCGCCCGGGAAAATGGACCACAACTCTCAGAAGGTCACGTTCCTAGGCAACACCGACTTTCTGGAGCCTCCCACTGCGTCCCTCCATCCGGAGGGGACCCGCACCTCGGAGCCTTCTGGGAGATGTAGTACTAGGCTCTAGGTGGTCAAGCGCGCCTCCTGGTGGACAAGGCTAGTGTAATTCTAATTCCCTCTAACTGCCAGAATTCTCATCCCGAGGCTTCCCGGATTCTCCGGAGCCGCCGACCGCGCCCTTCTGGAGGTTGGGACGCCCGCCCAACGGTAGCGTCTGGGAATCATAGTGAGATATATCCATCTGAGTACGGCCTAGGCCTGGCTGGGGAGCCTGGACTCCAAGTCCCGGAACACCCCGTCCCCAGCACAGGCCCACTCGTGCACGCCCATTGGGTGGCTACCCGCACCGCCACACCTTCTGGGAAATGTAGTCTGGCTCGCTGGGCGCTCAGTGGCTGGACAGGTCTAGGGCTCGGGCCGCAGGACTACAACTCCCAGAATGGCCACAGCGGCTGCGTCTGGCGCTCCAGAGTCCCCGCTGCGCACTTCCATTGGTCTGGAGGCCGCGCCGCGGGGGCGTCTGGTCACGGTAGTTCCCTTCCTGCTCGGCGCCGGGGTTCGGCGGAGAGGCTGCGCTGGGTCAGGACCCTCGGTTCTGTCCGAAGGCCCGGTGCCCCGGATCTCCCTCCAGCTCTGCCGGGAGAGCTGCGGGCGCCGAGGCCCGCGGCGGGCGAGCTGGCAGAGGCCGGGGTCGGAGCTCCCTGTGCCCAGGGACGCTGGGAGGGGCTGTTCCCACACGCCCTCCCGTCTCTGACTCGGGAAAGACTGGAGGTTGAAGGAGATGACGGCCGCGGGGCTCCTGGCGGCCCGCCCCCTGGTGAGTGGCCGCTCCGCCTCCTGACGGGCCAGGCGGATGACTCCCCAGCCCGTGAGCCCGGGGCCGACATTCCGCCTTCCTCTAAACTTCCGCACAGCCCGTCGTTCTGGCCACTGGTCCTGTTGTCCCTAAATGCATCAATAAAGTCCTACAACCATTAAAGATCCAGTCACAAACCTCCCAGCGAGAAAATGCCAGACCCAGATGGCTTCAGCTACCACGTGTTCAAGGAACAAACAGGTCCGGTCTTCCATCATCTGGAATAATTTGTCTCAGAGAGGGAACGTTTCTGTTAGTTCTTATGAAGTCAGCGAAACCGTGAGTCCCAAACCTGTACACTTCTCTGAGCTCAGGTTCCTCATTTGAAAAAACAAAAAACACACCCCAGGGAGTACGAACTGCTCCGTAAGACTGTTGTGAGGATTAAGTGGATTTCCATGGGGGAAAGAGCTTACTCAGTACAGTGCCCAGCCTGGAAACCCCTTGGCAGATGTTAGCGTTATTATCAGCAGATATTAGCATTATCATCTTTTTATTCCTGGTGGTGTAACAAAGGAAGGGGAATCCTACGGGGAACTGTACATTTTGATCTTGTGGAAGATCAGTAGTTGATCAAGAAATGGGTGAGATTCTTAGGGGGTAAACATTTCAGGGTTATGGGGGCTCCCCTCAGAAATGGCTGATACGGACCCCTGGCGTCCCCAGGAAGACTCAGGTGTATCCCTCAGAAGCCAGAACCCTTTCAGGACATCTCCCTGCACACCTGGGCCCATCCTCGCATGCTCAAGTACCCCTCTCCCTGCCCCTCTGGGAGCTTTGTGAGATAACGGTCTTGGCTCAGCGGGCATGTGGGTGACATTTCAGGAGCAGGTAACCTTCGATGAAGTGGCTGTGGACTTCACCCAGGAGGAGTGGGGGCTGCTGGGTCCTGCCCAGAAGACCCTGTACCACGACGTGATGCTGGAGACCTTTAGGCACCTGGTCACCGTGGGTGAGGCTGGGACCTGTGTTGCCTCCTGTCTGCTTGGAGTCTTGGCAGAGTGGGTCTGACCTGGCTGGGAGTGTGGGGTCACTGAACCCTAGGAGGGTTTCTCCCCCACAAACCCTCACAGCTGATCTCTCACTTGGACAGGGCTTTGGATCCCCAAGCCACATATCATTGCCCAGCTGGAACTCGGAGTAGAGCCATGGATGAGGGACAGAGGACTCTCCCAAGATTCCTGCCCAGGTGAGATGTGGGAAGGATCTTTACAGTCAGTGTTTATATCTTCCTTTTTATCTACTCTTTCTTGTACTTTTCATTACCTTTGGCATTTCCATAATTCCCTCTGGGATCATTTTCCTTTTGCCGGAAAAGCTCCCTTTATTATTTCTTTTAGAGTGACAAAACTCTCCCACTTTGTGCTTGCCTGAAAATGCCTTTATTTCATCTTCATTTTGGAAAGATACTTCAGGCAGAGAATTTTAGGTTGGCAGTTCTTTGTTTTCAGCACTTTAAAGACACCATGCTTTTGTCTTCTGGACCCATGTTTTCTGTTGTTGAGATGTCAACCCTCCATCTTATTACTGTTACTTTGAAGACAATGGGCCTTTTAATTTTTTTGCTACCAGTATTTTTTTAAATGCACAAAGTTTACATTTGAAAAATTTTGACAACTATATACACATATGTAATCATCACGCAAATCGAGCTTGAAGACATTTTCATTATCTCACAAAATTCCTTTGTTCCTCTTTCCAGTTAACAAAGATAAGCACTGCTCAGCTTTTTTTCCACCATAGATTACTTTGGCCTCTTCTAGAACTTCATATACAGAGAATAATACATTATTTCTTGTAAGGCTTACCCTAAGATTTCTAAGATTCATCCATGATATTGTATGCATTATTATTCTGTTCCTTTTTGAATGAACTGCAGTTTATCCATTCTCCTGTTGGTGAACATTTGGTTGTCTGAGGTTTTGTGCTATTATGAATAATGCTGCTATGAACATTCTAGTACAATGCTTTTAGTGAATCTCTGTTTTTATTTCTCTTGGGTAAATATCTAGGAGTGGAATTGCTGGGTCATAGAGTAACAAGAGTCTGATTTTATAAATTTTCTCTTTTATGGTTAACTTTTTTTTAATAAAAGTCCTAAGAAATCTTTGCCCATGCCAAGTTTACAAAGATATTCTCCTGTTTTCTTCTGGTGCTTTTAAAGTTTTTGCTTTTACATTAATACCTATGATAACACCTTGAATTAATTTTTATTTAAGTATAAGGTAGTAGACAAGGCGTTTATTTTTTCTTATGGTTATCCAGTTGTTCTAGCACCATTTAATGAAAAAAATATTTTCTCTCCTCCATTGTATTATACTAGAGCCTTTGTTGAAAATCAGTTGAATGTATCTGTGTGGATCTATTTCTCTGCTCTCTTCTCTTCCATTTTTCTAGCCCTGTACCAACATCATGGGTCTTAACAGTAAACTAGCTTCACAGTAAATCTTAAAATGAGATAGTAAAAGTCATTCTCTAACTTTATTGTTTATAATTGTCTTGGCTATTCCAGGTCTTCAGCGCTGTCATATAAATTTTAGAATCGCCTTGTCAGTTGGAAATTATCAAGCTTTAATTCCACAAAATTCCTACTTGAATTTTGATTTGTAGTGCCTTAAATCTATAGATCAGTTTGGGAAGAATTTACATCTTAATGTGGTGAGCTTTCTAATTCTGTGATCACAGTACATTTATTTGGGTACTTCAATTTCTCTCAGCAATATTTTGCACTTTTTAAGTATATGAGTCTTGCACATCTTTCATTAAATTTTTTCCTTGGCATTTGATATTTTTGATACTATTGTAAGTGCTATTGTTCCTTCATTTCATTTTCTATTTGTTTGTTGCTAGTGTATATAAATATGATCTGGTTTTCAAGTGGCCTTTATCTTATGAACTTGCTAAAATCACTTACTTGTTCTAGTAATTTGTCTCTCAGTTTCCATGGATTTCTTACACAATCATGTCATCTGGAAATAAAGATTGCTTTTATTTTTTAATGTTATTATACTAGCTAGGACCTCTAGTACTTTAAAAAAAAATTTGATGTGTAATTTATAGCGAGACCTGATGTTCTTACGAGTACAGTCCAGTGAAGTTTTACAGATGTATATTTGTGTGACCCATCTGCCAATCCACACATAGAATATTTCCATCTCCCTATACATTTCCTTTATGTCCCTTTCCAGTTAATATTCCCCCCATGTGGCAGCCATTGTTCTGATATCTTTCACCCTGGATTATCTAGTACAATATTGACTAAAAGTGATGAGTGGACCTCCTTGCCTTGCTCCTGATATTAGGCGATAGCATTCAATACTTCACCATTAAATACGATCTGATGCCCTTTATCAGAGTGACGAAGTTCTATTCCTGGTTTGCTGAGTTTTTTTCATGAATGGGTGTTAAAATATAACATCAAATGCTCTATATGCATCTGTTAACATGATTGTATTTTTTTTCTCCTTTGTTCCATTGATTTCTGCTCTTTATTATTTCCTTCCTTTACCTTGATTTAACATGCTTTGCTTTTTTTCTGGCTTCTTGAGGTGGAAGCTTAGGTCATGAATTTTAATCCTTCCTTTCTAATGTTTGCAATTATAGCTATACATTTTCCTTTAAGCCTTAATTGCATCCTGCCCATTTTTGAACTGAACAATAATGAAAATACAACGTATGAAACTGATTTCTTCTTTGATTTGTGAAGTACATTGTTTAATTTCTACATGAGACTTCTGTTATTGATGTCTAGATTAATTCCATTGTAGTTGAAAGACATATTCTGTATGAATTCAGTCTTTTTAAATTTACTGAGAAATGATTTTATGACACCATATATGGTCTATTTTGGTGAATGTGTATTCTGCTCTTATTGGGCATAGCATTTGATAAATGTCAATTAAGTCGAGTTGCTTAATTGTGTTACACACACTTTATTCTTATGGATTTTCTCATCTGCTAGTTCTATTAGCTACTGATAGAAGAGTGTTAAATTTCCAACCATGACTGGATTTGTGTATGTTTTTTTTTTTTAAATCAATTTTTGCTTCATGTATTTTGAAGCTATGTTACTGGGCTTAATAACATGTCAGATTGGTATGTCTTCCTGTTGAATATACCCTCTTATCACTGTGAAATGTCCTTCTTTTCCTCTGGTAATACCTCCTGTCTTGATGTCTACTTTACTTGATCTTAATATAGCCAAGTAGCTTTCTTGTAGTCAGTGTACTGCATTATATGTCTTTTTCTGTATTCTTACTTTCAACTTAGCTGTTGAAATGTTAAAGTGGGTCTCTTGTAAACAGTATGTAATTGGGTTTTGTTTATAGTCCATTTTGGCAGTCTTATTCTTTAATACGACTGTTTAGTAAATTTGTATTTAGTGTATAATTACTGATATGTTTGGGTTTATATATGCCACCTTGTTATTCTCTATTTGTCTCATCAGGTCTTTGTACCTTTGTTTTTCCATTCTGCCTTCTTTTGGATTAATTGGGTGTTATTTATTATTCCATTTCATCTCTTCTTTTTCCTTCTTAGCTTTATGTCTTGTAATATAGTCCTGCACCACATAATGAGATTTCAGTCAAGGACAGATGGCATATACGACAGTGGTCCCATAAGATTAGTATCATATAGCCTAGGTGTGTAGTAGGCTATACCATCTAGGTTTGTGTAAGTAAACTCTACAATGTTCGCACAACGACCAAATCGCCTAATAACACGTTTCTCAGAACATATCCCTGTCGTTAAGCAATGCATGACTGTATTGTATAATCTTATATCTTATTTGCTCTAAGGTTAACAGTACAAATTTTTAACTTATCATAGTCTACCTGGAATTAGTAATATGCCATTTATTGTACAAGGTAAGAGTTGCAGTTTTCCCTGTTGTCATATATGTCACTTCTACGTAGTATATAAGCCCCATTATGCATTGTTGTTATTCTTGTTTTATACAGTCAACAGCATTTTAAAGGAATTTAAAAGTAATTTTGTACAATATTTTTTCCTAATTAGTTTTTGCATTGCTCTTAATTCCTTTCTGCAGATCCAGGCTTCTATCTTTGATCATTTCCATTCAGTCTAAAAAACACACTGTACCCAGAGGGGTTTTCAGATAAAGTCTGTCATCATTTTAAAGTCTTGGCCCCTTTTGGACTTTCTTTTTCTTTCCAGGTCATCCTGGCCTGGATGAGGCGCCCATGTGTGTTTCAGTTCTCTCTGAAAGGCAGGTCAGTTCACGGACTGTTCTTAAGACAGCAGAGAGGATTTACAGGGAGCAAATGAATGAAATTAGAACTCATGGTTCAGTTCCTCTGTCTCTGGGTATGATGCTTCACACCCACACTGCCTGTGACCTTTCACCTTTTCTTTGTTCTTTTTTGGTAAGTCTTTAATATGTGCTCAATTAAAAAGTTACATTTTAAAATGGGAATTTGGTTTTTATGTATATCTTTCCACCAGAGACTGTCATTTAGAATGCTTTACTAGCCCTCTTTATCATAACATTGAAGTGTGTAATGAAATGCTTAAAAAACATGACAACCAATGTCAAAATCATAAGATTTTTCTCTGTAGGTTGTGCCCTTAAACAGTAAGCATCTATTAGGATGAGGTCTGCATTATCACCATTTCTGGTTTCTCTATTCTCAGTTCAGATGACTAACTCAGTAAATATTTATGATGTGCCAAGTGACACATGTCTATCAGATGTAACAGGCCAGACAGATTTCAGTGCTTCACAAATACCACCACCCACGTTACTCCTGTTATTATGATCTTTCTTGTACTGATTAGGTTCTAGCTTTCTTACTTAACTTATCAGTAATTTCTTCCCAAGATCAGACCCTCATTACCCAGGTTGAGCTTGAGGCATTTATAATAATTGACACTTTATTTATACAGATGGTGAGTCTCAGCCATTATGTGTTGATTTTACTAGAGTAACTCTCAGAGGGTAAATTTATTCTAAAGTTTGGAGGTTGTCTTACTGCCGCCATAGAGTATTAGCAACAGAAATTGCCTTTAGATAAAAAATTAACATCAAAGGTGGTTGATTTAAGAACTAGAAGAATTTTTTTTGAAAGATAATAAAATTAAAAAGTTAATGTTATAAATTTCAGACTTTAGGGATAGAATATTTGCTAGGAAATACATGTACATCCCAACACTCCTGCTATTCTGGTTGGTGCTGTTATGAAGGACAGTCGGGGGGAGAGGCTTCTAGTTAGACATGTAATCCTTTAAAATCCGGGTTACGCACAGTTGATAGAAGCCAGCAATAGTAAGCAATACTGGCCGAAAGGTGAAAAGATAGAGGGTCAAGGGTTAAAAGACTTAACATCAACTCATGGCTTTTCCACCAGTTAGTTAAACGATCTTTGGTTTCAGGTACCTGCTTTGGTATTCAGTTTCATCATCAGCATGATCCTAATTACCTTTCAATTCTAATGTCATATCATTTCATGTGACTGTAGAGTAGAGCAATAGGGAATAAAATACTCAATGTAAAAAAACAAAAAACACGCTCTAGTATTTCTTGTGGTACACTCAGATGGTGAAAAATTCTCTCCCCTTTTTTTTGCCTAAAAATGTCTTTTTTTAGCCTTCCTTTTGGGAGGATTCTTTCCTAGATATAGAAGTTAAGATTTTTCTCTTTCAGCTTTAAAGATGCTAGTCTCTTGTCTTCTCGCTTCCATTGTTTCCTGTGAGAAGTTAGCTGTTTTCTTGTTGTTCCATGAATGTAATCTGTTGTTTTCCTCTGATCACTTTTAAGATTTTTGCTTTATATTTGGTTTTCAACAGAGTGACTATGATGTTTTAGGTGAGGTCTTCTTTGAAATGATTCTGCTTAGAGTTTGCTGAGCTTGGATTTAAAGGATGTTACCTTTAATCAATCTAGGAAAACTCTCTGCCATTATCTCTTCAAATATGCCTTCTGCTGCTCTCCTCTCCTGTAACTCTAGCTACACGTTAGTCCATTTGTCAGATGTTCTGTTTTTACATTCTTTTCTCTCCTTTTATAACGTCATAAAGTTTCCATTTACCTGCCTTTGAATTCACAGATCCTTTCTTCTCCTGTGTCCAGTCTGCTGTTAAGTCCATTCATGGTTTACTTAAGATACTATATTTTTATTGAGTTCTAGAATTTTCATTTGGTTCTTTTTTCAGTTTTCCGTGAAATTCTTTATCATGTTTATAATAGTTATTTTAAAATCTTTTTCTGCTACTTCTAATGTTTGGTCTGTCTGTTTTTGTTGACCTTTTTTTCTTGATCATGAGTCATATTTTCCTGATTCTTTACATGTCTAGTCATTTTTTATATACTGGACACTGCAGGTGATACATTGTAGAGACTAAGGCTTGTTATCTTCTACCAAAGAGTGTGAGTTTTGTTCTGGGAGACAGTTAAATTATTATGAATCATCCTAATCCTGATGAGCCTTGGTTTGAGGATTTATTTATTTATTTGTGAGGAAGATCAGCCCTGAGCTAACATCCGTGCTAATCTTCCTCTTTTTGCTGAGGAAGACTGGCTCTGAGCTAACATCTATTGCCAATCCTCCTCCCTTTTTTTCCCCGCCCCCCCCCAAAGCCCCAGTATATAGCTGTATGTCATAGCTGCACATCCTTCTAGTTGCTGTATGTGGGACTCGGCCTCAGCATGGCCAGAGAAGCGGTGCGTCGGTGCGCGCCCGGGATCCAAACCCGGGCCGCCAGTAGCGGAGCGCGCGCACTTAACCCCTAAGCCATGGGGCTGGCCCAGTTTGAGGATTTATTAAGGTGGGCTTATTTGGTTTTCCATTAGTCCTTGAATGTGGCCCTTATTCTTAGGCATGGTCTTTCCTCTTACGGTGTAGCTTTCTAGGGTCTCAGCTGAAGGCCTCGAGTGCTTACTTAAGTCTTTCTGCCCTCGGTGGATCAGAACTCATGCCTCCCAACACTGCATACCTTCTGAAACCTCTGTTCAGGACCCTAGCAGCTGTTCTTTGCCAAGTCTTAGAGAACCTTCCCCTGTGCATTTGCAGTTAGGGTCCACCTAAGGACTCAAGGAGAAACCCTCTGCAGATTTCTGGGTCCCCTTCTTTGCCCTGCTTGACATAGCAAAGCCCTCCTCAGTCGATTCCATGGCCTTCTCCCCATGGTCAGAAACCTGAGGCCTCCCCACCTGATGGGAGTCAGGCTGCTGGGGAACACAATCAAGTACCCTGTCTGTCAACCTCACAGACATGTCCCAAGCACCCACAGTGCTCCAGGTGCTGTGCTGGGCAGTGGGGACACAGTGTGAAAAGGACTGATGACACCCCTGCCTCTGTAGAGCTTAAGGCCTCTGGCATGTAGTGTCTGGGGAAGGGCAGACAATATAGAACCAAAAGAACAAGGTGATGACACACAGTGCTAAATAGTGCTGGGAGACAAATAAAACAGGACAATGATATGGAAAGTGAGGAGGAACCCATATTGGCTGGGAGGTCGGGAAGGGTCTCTCAGAGGCAGTGACTTGGGGCTATGACCTGAATGATGAGAAGCGGAAGGGTGTTGACACTTAAGACCTTGGGGATCAAAGGAAGGTCATCAAGCAGACAGGATCTGTGTAGTAATGGGGGAAATGATCATATACAGTGAGAACTAAATAACCCAGAAGGAAAAGGGACAAGCATAGCTGTGGTAGTTTGACCCTGATTCTGGGTGTGGGGGTGGGCTGGATAGATCTAAAGAACACTCTTGGCATTGTGAAACTGGTTTGTTAGGAGGATTAATTTGGTGTCAGTTACAGGAGGAATGGATGTTAGGTGGGGAGATGGTTCATAATTCGGAGATATCTAAGCATTCAAGAAGGGTGAATATGTTACTTTTGGGAATGTCTGCTTATTCCATGATCTTTCCCCTAATGCTGTCCCCTCCACCTGCTTTGCTGATCACTCTTTGTTGATCAGTCTTCCTGTGGACTCCTCTTGTTCTATGTAGACATTTTGTGGCTTCTCTTCTCACACTCCCATCTCTTCCCTTAGTTGATATTTAAAAATATCTACTTGTGTCAAGCACATCTTGTTGCTTATATCTCATCATTCTCTAGGAGTTTTTTTTTGCAAGCACCCAAACTGTTTTTCATTTCCTTCCAGAATCGAAGAACAGACCTAAAAGCCAAGAGTCACTATCAACAGAGGCCATTTCTGGTGGGAAACTACCCAGCAGCATGAACCTGGCAAGATCCACAATGGGTGATTGCTGTCACTCTACCATAGCAGACGACTGGGAATCTGAGGATGAAGCAGAAAAGCAGAAGACATGTGATGGCAGTGTGGGGCGAATGGAATGTAAACAAGGGCAAGTAGTGACCCAGGATGGGGATGGGGAAAATGCTGAAGTTGTGGGAAAATGCAGCTTCGGTTCAAACTTGGTTTCTTCACAGAAATTTCTTATCAAAGAACATTTCCATCAAATTGACTCAGAAGTTCAAAGCTTACAGCATAATTTTTTTTTTAAAAATCATCAGGAAATCTTGGTTGGAAAGAAACCTTGTAAAGGCAATCCATGTAAAAAAGCCTTGGAAAAACTATATAAATTGAATGAGCATGGCAAATATACCAACCAGAGCATATGCCTTTCTACAGATGAGATAATTAGTACAGGAGAGAAATTTTATGGATGTAAAGAAAGTGGGGATTTTTTTACCCAAAGCTCACCCCTCTCTCAGGTCATAAGAACTCATAGTGGGGAGAAAGCCTATGAATGTAATGAATGTGGGAAAGCCTTTAAGAAGCTTTCATCTCTTTCTCACCATCTGAGAAATCACAGTAGAGAGAAAGCCTATGAATGTAAGGAATGTGGGAAGTCTTTCTGGCAGAGCCTTCACCTCATTTTGCACCAGAGAATTCACACTGGGGAGAAACCTTATGAATGTAATAAATGTGGAAAATCTTTTAGCCAAAATTCTCACCTTAATGTACATCAGAGAACTCATACTGGAGAGAAGCCCTATAAATGTGATGAATGTGGAAAATCCTTCAGTGGAAGGTCTAATCTTAATGTGCATAAGAGAACACATACTGGAGAGAAACCCTACAAATGTAAGGAGTGTGGGAAAGCCTTCAGTGACCGCTCATCATATACACAACATGAAAGGACGCACACTGGAGAGAAACCATACAAGTGTAATGAGTGCGGAAAAGCCTTCAGCCACAGCTCTCACCTTACAGTTCACAAGAGAATCCATACTGGTGAGAAACCATATAAATGTAATGAATGTGGGAAAACTTTCAGTTTTCATTTATCCTTCACTCAACATAAGAGAACACACACTGGAGAGAAACCCTATAAATGTCATCAGTGTGGGAAAGCTTTTAGTCAAGGTTCTAACTTTATTGGGCACCAAAGAACTCATACCAGAGGGAAAAAACTACATATTTCATTTTAATAAATAAAAGCTATGCAAGTACACTTAGATTTTTGACCCATTCCCAGAGAAGGGCTGAGCCTGGTGGCATTTGATACCTAGGGAAATTGCCAGTGAGAAACAATTAGTAAGATCAAAACTCCCTTCAATAATACTAGTTAATACAGTCAACCAGTGTGGGAAAGGCTGTTGCTGAGAAATCAAAATAGGTTGATGATACTTGATTAAATGACTGAATGTACTCTTCCAAAGAGCCAGAGTGCCACTATTTACTTCATTGTTTCCCCAATGCTAAAAAGTTAGACTGCTGCTAATTTGTTTCAAGAAGTTGCTATAAACTGTAATTACAAACACTGTGTAGAAACACGGAAAATGCCTATAATGTGTAGTGAAAGGTGCAGAATTGTGGCTGTGTTACCTTATGTGTGCATTTGGACAAGGGCTTGGAAGGAAACAGAAATGAACATAGCTAATTAATAAGAGTCTTGGAATATTGTGTGACTTTTTTTATGTTTCTCTCAAAATTGCTACAATTTTACAATAAAAAGACAAGGAGGAGAGAGAATAGGTCAAATGTGAGTCTGAATCACTGGAGAGAAATGGGTGCACTAAAGTAGCAAAAACAAGAAGAAATGGAAATAAATTTAGTGGTCAACACAAAAAGTTAGAAGAAATTATTTCTAATCAAAGCAGAATGAAGGATGTAATAAAGGTAAAAGCAGAAAATACCTGGTAAAAAGGTGACTCTGAGAAAAACAAACTGTAATTTCCAAACTAACATGATCAAGAAAAATGATACACAGATTTGCAACATTGGGAATGAAAAGGGAAACAGAGAAAATAATATCAAAAGGTTTGTACATTTTTGTGTACACGTCAACACTTGAATGAAAAAGATACTTTTCTAGGAAAATATAATCATCGAAAACATAATACTGACTGAAGATGACACAGAAAACCTAAATAGACTAAACATTTCGGATTAAATTGAAAAAGTTCTCAGAGAATTACTCCACAAAAAAATTCTAAGCCCAAGCTGTTTTACCAGTGAATTAATTTGCACCTTCAAGAAATAGAAAACTCTCTGATATACCACTGTTCCATGGTAGAAAGCTGAACATTTACATCTCCTGTGATACCAGTCTGTCAAAACTCAAAGAAAGAAAAATTAAAGGCCATTATCTCTCAGGAATATTAATGTAAAGTTCCAGATCAGACACTGCCAGTACAGAGTACAGCTAGGACACCTGGACTTGGGAACGTTACTCCAGCAATAGAGGTTCTTTGTATTAGGAAATATACAACTATGATGCTCCATTTTAATCAAGCAGTGGAGAAAAAAACCAGTCATCTAAATGATTAATGAGAAAGAAGTTGATACAATTTAATATTTATTATTAACTCGGGAAAAAAACCCCTGGTAACAGGAACAAAGTCTTTTTATAATACGATGATATCAGACTTAATGGTGACACTAGAGCTGAGGTTGGCAAACTAGGGCCCACAGGCCAAACCTGGCCCGTCTTTTTGTAAATAAAGTTTTATTGGAACATAGTGCACACCCACTCATTTCCATATCTTCTATAGCTGCTTTATAAGGTAGAGTTGAGAGGCTGTGAAAGAGACTGCATGGCCTAAAAAGCCAAAATATTTACTAGAAAAGCTTTGCCAATCCCTGATCTAGAGCTGTCTCCATTCCAGTCAGGCAGGACCAAGGCAAGTTTGCTCACTAGTCTTTGTGTATGAGCAGGCAGTTCACAAAAGGAGTACAAATGACAATAAATACATGGAAAGTGTCTGAGGTCATCAGTAATCAAAGATGCAAATAACAATAATAAAAGTATATACTTGAGCACTGTTATGGTGTAGACAGTATCCCAAGCACTCAGTCTGCATAACCTCATTTAATACAAAAGTCCTAGTGATGGAAGTTCCATTATCGTTTCCATTTTACAGATGCAGAAAACGCAGTCTAAGGAGGGTAACTGTCAGGTAAAGATTGGCAAAGATTTTAAAAAGACTATGTGGGATGTAGGCAAAAATAGTGGGGAAATGGACCCTATTATTCAGCAACCATGGATGGTTATCTAGGTGCACCATCTTTGTAGGGTGGTCAGGTTGGAAGTGTCCAGATGTAAAGGATGCTCACGAGTTGATTCACCAGTCTCACCTCTGCAATTCACTCATGGAAATAACTGCCCAGGTATGAAAGCATACGAACAGGACCTTTGTTACAGCATGGTTTACAACAGCAAAATGCTAAATGCTCACTAACAGGAGAATGTTTAAGTAATTATGGTGCAGAGATTAAACAGCAAATTGCTGGGAGACAAAATTAGGTTCATAACCTGGATGATCCCAACTCTAGGAAACTATCAATCTCCCCAGGGAACTCGAGAAGAATGTCACCCACATGTTAACATTTGTTATCTTTGGGTGGTGGGATTTTAAGCAATATTTGCTCTTTACCGTTTCCTAAATGATTTTAATTTCTTTATAATGAATGTATATCATTTGAATTAAAAAGAAAGTTATTTTCATCCAAGAATAATATTAAGATCATGGAGTCCAAAATTTTCATCACCACATGTTACTGGGTGGGAAATAGAATACAGGTCATTGATGTGTGTGTAGCCAGAGATATGATCAGTGCTATTAGGGTGGGACGTTGACCCACTATACAGGAACCAGTATGTGTGTGTGCATGAGAGATACAGAGAGAACGAGAGAGACTAAAAGTTAAAAAGATTTGTCCACAGCTAACACACTTGGTTCTCAAAGGCCAGCTGTGTGGGCCTCGGCAGCCTTGCCAGAAGGCAAATACCCCATCTGGGGACTCTGGTGGACCAGGACTGGCTCTTCAAGCCAGAGATGTGAGCATGATGGGTTGATGTGTCATTTGTGAGAAGTAAAAATGTCCCCATCTAGAGATGTTTAGGATAGAAACATAATTGAGTGACAAAACCAGGATTCAGCTAAAGTACAACCTTTAAAGAACCCACCAAATCCACAACTTAATTTAACCAATCTCCGAATAAAATTTCCATTCCAGTAAGATACTGATCCTTGATCCCTGTACGTGACCTTCATAAATATCCACCTGCATACATTGGTTCAAGCTCACTACTCACACACAATCCATTCGTATGTCCTGGGATTCCTAACTGCAAACACATCTATCAGTCCAATTATTCCTACCTCCACTGCCACCTGCCTAGGCCATGTTGCCATCTTCTCTTCAGGGCCAATGCAGTAGTTTCTCATTGGTCTCTGTGTCCACTTTTCATCCCTTTATACCCACAGCAGCTGTAGTGAACTTTTAAGAGCACAAAGAAGATCATGAAACTTAGGTACTATGAAGACCACACAGTTCCCAGAATAATTTCTCAGCCTATATTTCTGGCCTCTGCCTGCCACTTTTTTTTTTGCTGAGGAAGATTTGCCCTGAGCTAACATCTGTTGCCAATCTTCCTCTTTTTGCTTCAGGAAGATTGTCCCTGAGCTAACATCTGTGCCAATCTTCCTCTATTTTGTATGTGTGTCACCACCACAGAGAGGCTGTTGACAAGTGGCGTAGGTCTATGCCTGGGAACCGAACATGGGGCCACTGAAGTGGAGTGTGCCAAACTTAACCACTAGGCCACAGGGCCGGCCCCTCTGCCTGCCTCTTTTAATGCTCCTGCCACAACATTGGTCCAGGTATTCACACTGCTTGGGTTACACTGGCCCTGTTCAGTTTCCTTGAATATTCTAAGGTGGTTCTCACCTCAAGGTGTCTGCAAACATTGTTCCCTCTTGGAACCACAGTCCACCCACCATAACTTTTGGGAGGCTAAGACCCATCCTTCCAGTTTTGGCTTAAGCATCACTGCAGAACAACCATTCGTGACCAGCCAGACCTAGCTGGACCTTAATCACACCCTGTAACTTCACACCATCTATCAGTTTTCAGAAATTTGTTTACCTGTTTATACTTCAAACAGCAGAGAGAGTTCCTGCTGAAACCTAACTCCCATCATGACAGCCTCTGTGGAGAGTGTTCCTGTGGCTTCCCATTTCTTCCAGAATGAGATCCAGAACCTTAACAGCTTATAGGGCCCACACCTGTGATGCTGACCCTGACTGTACATTAGAATCACAGAGGTAGCTTTAAAAAAAAACACCAACACCATGCTTCTGTTTCTGATTAAGATGAAGGAGTATGTGAATGACCATAGCTCCTAAAGTAACAATCAGAAAAACAAAGACAAAATTTAAAAATCATACTCTTCTGTGGTACACTGTTGAAGAGAGATGGGAAGCAAGGAAGCCTTGATGAAATGCAAAGAGAGATGAACCCTTCCCAGGAGAGCACGCTGGGGACAAACACCTGGTTTGGGTGCAGGTGGGCATCAAGTTGGCTGGCCATTGGTGGAGCAACTCTGCACAATGGAGGAGAGAGCAGCAGAGCCTTTGAAAACAGTGGGCAGGCAGGACAGAGCTCCAAGCTTGGGGCAGGAAGAACTCCAGATGCAAAAGCAATTTTCTCATCCTAAGAATCCCATTAGCCTAGAATTTTGCTGAGAACCCAGACCAGTGAAATGCTCTTATCTTAGGAACACCATTGAATCATTTTTGACAAAAGCCTATCAAGACATAGAACATTTCCATTACTCCAGAAAGTTCTTTCATGCCCCTTACCAGTCAGTTCCTCCCTACACACCCAAAAGCAAAGGGTGATTTCCATCACTAGGGTTATTTTTGCTATTTCTAGAAATTTATAAGGTGGGACCATAATCATATATTTTGTGCACTTTTGTGTCTGCTTTCTTCCCCTCAGCAAAATATTTTTGAGATTTATCTATGTGATTGCATGCATCAATGGTTCATTCTTTTTTTATTGTTGAGTAGTATTCCATTGTATAAATATAGCACAATTTATCCAATCTCAGGTTGATGGAAATCTGATCTGTTTCCAGTTTTGGGTGACTATGAATAAAGCTGCTATGGACATATTTGTCAAGGTTTGCTTTTGTTTTTGTGGACATATGCTTTCATTTCTTTTGAATAAATTCCTAGAAGTGAAATGGCTGGGTTATAGAGGAGATGTACGCTCAGCTTTTTCAGCAACTGTCAGTTCTCCAAAGTGGTTGTAATACTTTATGCAAATATCAGCCACGTATGAGAATTCCTGCCACTCTACATCCTCACCAACATTTGGTATTGTCCATCTTTTTCATTTTGGCCATTCTAGAGAGTGTAGAGTGATATCTCATTGTGGTATGATGACTAACGACACTGAACACTTTTTCATGTGCTTATTGGCCACTTGGCATGTGTTCTTTTGGGAA